TTACTATTAGTTCAAAAGATTTACTTTTTAGTAAAAATCCCCTTATTAGAAACTTGTTTTTCCTGAGAAGATATAATCTGAGAGAAAAAATTTTTACATACACACACACACACACACAATTAGCTAGATAGAAAGTTGTAGGAAATTATTCTTTGTAAACAATTTGTGCTTCTGGTATAAAAATTTCTTTAAAAAGTGAGAAAATACAAATTTGTCTTTGGAACAAAGGGTCACAAATAGAAGAACTGGTTGAAACTACCCTAAATAACAACACTACCTCTGATGTAGGCAAATCCTTAAAGGGAAGAACATCTTCTTGAGAACAGTGAGCTAAATATTTGTGCCTCCTGACAGGGCCAACTCCTTGGTACAAGACAATCACATTGACCAGAACAAAATTTTTTCTCAGTAACTTTTCTAAAAACAAACTGTACAAATATAGTGTTAAAATTATGTATTCACTCATTTGAGGGATAGTATAGGTTATTCAATAACTGCTTGATAAGAGAGATACGATTAAGAGTTCTTTCTTTATTTCTACATTGCACATTATACTAACACAGGCTCTGGGAATCTCCAAGCTGACCACGAGGGTGAGTCACACACCATCCCAGCCCTGATTAGGAGGGTTTAGCATTTGAGCCCCTGCCACCTCTTCTCTTGCCTTCCTCCCTGCTATGAAAGGGCTCATGTCACACAGGGCACAATGTTGGAGCAGACAAGTAAGTAAAAAACAGCACTTTGATCTAAAAATGTCTGCAAATAGACTGAGATTGCTCCTAATATTCTCTCCTCTTTAGAGCTACATTCACATCTGATCTCTATCTCAGCCGTGAACACTGTGGGAGCTACAGTGGATCTTATTTTCTCTCTCAGTTTTCTCACTCCAATGTACCACGAGGGTGACCCGGCAGTGATATCTGGACATCTGGGTCTCCAGCTTAGAGCGCTTCATAGTTTTGTGCCTCCACATGGCCATTGAGCCCCACCGGGACCCTGCCTGGCCTTCATTCCTGATGGTAGCCTAGTGCTCTCTGTTGCCAGGGCATGTCTGTCACACTGTCTTCCTCACCTAGCTTGCTCTCACCTCTCTTTTGTTTTCTTTCTGGACAATTCTCCTCAGTCCTAAATTGTTGTAGGAAACTAACCTTAAGCAGAATCTTTAGAGACTTTTCTTCCTCCCTTCACATTTCTGTGAACTAAAGTCAGATCTCCTAGACAGCTAGGGCTGTGTCTGACTCAGCCTTGCAAGCCCAGCTGTGAACACAGTGTTAGGCGCGTAGTAGACTCCTAAATAAATGCCTGTATAACAGTTCAACAGTGTGAATCAGGAGCACTTGGAACTTTTGAGCACTCATTTTCTAAGAGTGTTAGTTATCATGACTTTGAAAGGATTCTTTTTGAAGAACTTGTTTCTTGTCATTTGGAAAATAGCAGTTTTCTCTCTAAAGGGCATTGTTTAGACAAATTCAATGGGAAAGTGACACAGAAAGTTGGGAGCTTATTATTTTTCCTTTCCTTTCAATGCTGTCCTCCACTGTGCTCCACCAGTATGGATGGGTGCACCATAGGACTTCTTGCTGCATACTGGCAGTGTCATCAATTTAACCCATGACACAAACAGCTTCAAAAAACACAAGAGCTGAGGAAAACTGTATCCCAAGGTGAAGTCTAGATGATACTTGTATGAGAGAAAAGAGACTTCAGTTAATACTGGGAATCATCCTAGAATCAGAGTTTCCATAAACCACAATTCTTAAAACACAGTGTGTTAATGGCTTAGCATGACAATTTTCTTTTTTAAACAAAAGCTGACCTATGTATAAAAACCCTTTGTTTTCTGCATAAGTTTAGTCCTTATTTCTTTAGTCTAACCCACTGGGTATTTCATTATATTAAAGTTAATAAGCCACGTTTATTTCAAATACCATGTACTCAGGATTTGAGGAGTACTTTGTATCAGACCCATAGATGAGTTTAAATGCTGAATTTAATATATGAAACAAAATGAGTACTTCCCTTCCCCTAAACATTCTGGCAATAAAAACTGCAGAACTGAGCATTATAAATACTTTCATATAGTCATATATGTCTTAATCTTTTAAGTTCTTCAGTAAATTCATTTGATCAATAGTTGAGAACTCATTTCAAAATTTTATGTAATCCTCTTCTCTCCTAGACATTTGGCAGGCTTGTCACAAAGGCCTTCATCATTCAAATTCCTCTTTCAAGGGAACAATTATTCTGTCTTAAAAGCAGCATTACACACTTAGAAAACCACACAAATGTCCAATCTTGCCCATTCATATTCACCAGCTTTCTTCTTTAAAGCACAAAACAAATACTGAATAACTTACAGTATGTTCTCTGGCCAAAAAAATTTGGAATAAAGCTAAATGAAGCTGATCTCTTTAAAAACTGGATTCTAGGAGATCCAATTCATACCTTTGTCCCCTTTATAATCAAGGTTAATTGACAGCAATGCCTTACCAACAGGGCAATACACTTGATTGGCTAAAGTGATATAAAGGACTGAGCACCAATCCTGTTCATTCCAACATGCAACCACATCTTGAGATTCGTAAAGTGCTGGCTGCGAAGCCCTAGTGATAGTGTAAGTTCTGGTCTTTACAAAGTCACTAATCTGTTTTATATTTTCTTATTTATAAAATGTATTTGTTTACTCATTCATTAAATAATCAATAATTACATGGTACAAGCCAGAAATGTTAGGTACTGGTGAAAAAATGGAAGTTAAAAAAAAAATCACACTGCAGTCAGACAGATAAGGAAAAGAACAGTTACAAAGCACTGTGCTTTGCTCAGATCAGAGGACTGCAGAGGGCAGCTTGGATGCTGTGTGCTCTGGCCAACACTAGGGGGCAGAAACGATGCTTAGGCCAAGTCAGGAAGATGGAGAACAACTGTAGGCATGGCATTCTGTGATAGAGATTAAACCATGGGTTACAGAAGAAGGAAGGGCTGAGGAGAAGACAGACAATGTTAGGCACAGGCAAACCTCGAAGTGCCCAGCATAGCATACAGAAGGATTGAACTCCATCTTTCTTCAAGGAAAAGGAAGCTAAAAGGAGTTTTAGGGCAAATTGTGTTAAGCTATTCTATGAAACAGTTTTAGGCCATCCAAGCCCACCTGACTCTACTAAGTCTTGAGTTACAGGTCAGAATCATGATGGAGAGACGTTCTTCCATGTGGAGAAGGTAGAGGCAACCAGACCAACTCTGAGGTAGCTAAAAAATAAAGGTATGCATTGACAAAGCCTAAATGAAGGCAGGGGAGTGTGGAGAAACAGTAGGAGATGGATTATTAGTAGGTACTGCAGATATTGAAGTCAGGTAGAGACTGAAAGGCAGTTAGAAAGGGACCAGGCCCAAGACAAAGTCAGAACAGAGATGAGGCAAACCAAGGCTGACTTTGAGGGCCCAGTTGATAGAAACGAGGGCCCAAGATGGAGACACCATGACGAAGTCGGCAAGCCTCCCCAGAGAGAAACAACAGCTCAAAGCTGTGCTGTAACAAGCACCATCAGTCCAGTGAGCCTGAACAATGTAACAAACATGCAGATAGATGACCAGAACACTCTGACCCCCATTCCTGCCCCTTCCAGAAATGCCTCTGTCCTTCTTCCTGCTATGCATCCTTGCTCTGCACCTTGCTTTTTCTATTAGATCAATATTAGCTAAGCAACTGTACTTGTAATCCCACAGGATGGTTGCAGTTTGAAGCAAGGTAACCTGTGATGAGATTTTACTGTATAAAATCCCTAGACAAAGAGCTTAAGCGGCAACTCACATTTGGGACCCCTTCTGTCTGCCTCTGAGGAGCTTTCTCTTAATATGGGTAATCAGTTGTTTGGGAAGTTCCAACTTGATTGATCTCATTCACCATTTCCTATTTTTAAACTCCTTTGTCTTCGAGTCCAGTTTTTGAAGTCATGAGACATGAACTCAGGACATTAACAGGCTGGGAGCTACTGTAACATAGAGATGCAAACTTGACATGACTGTTTACATATGGAGGAGGAAGGGAAGATAAAAATTGTAAGATTCTTTTTAGAGTTTAGTTTTGGATGTGCTGCTACTATAGGACCTAGAAGACTTCCATGTGGAGGTGTTGAGCAGGCAAAGGAATGGGACTGGGGAGCAATGTCTGGGTTGAATAAAAGACTGCAATCCATTAATCCATCCAACATATAGAGGAAGCTGTTGATGGAGGAGACAAAGGAGGTGGCCCTAGAGTTAGCAGAGAAAAATCAAGATCATTAAAGCAAGAGAATAGAGTTTCAAAAAAGAGCAATCAACAGTGTAACTTCCTATGTAGCAGTGAAATAAGATGGAACTGGAAAGTGCCCAGGGAACCTGGCAGCTCAGACATTTTTAGTGGCCACAGGGAGTTCAGCGCCACGAGAATATCTTGGACACAAACCAGACGTGGGTGGGCTAAAGAGTTACCAAGACCACCAGAAATGGAATCCTTTTTCTAAAAGCCTGGGTAAAAGAACTAGAAAAGCCAACTGGTTTGAAAATCTTTACAGCTCTTACTAGCAAGTCCATTCTATGAAATTCTATGAAGGACACAGTTTTATATCAAGGCGAGTGGATAAGATTCCCTGGTTGTCTATCTTACTACCGACATGGATGTTAAGAAATGGAGACAATGGAACTAAGGTAGGTTGAGAATGGATTCGTCTGGGGGGTGCTTGGCTTGGGATGCTGAGCCAGGCCCCACACTTGTTCCTGCCCACATAACAAGAAAGTGGGTGAGGTATGCAGACAGCCAGCAGGTTCCTTGTCTCTTGGTTTAAGGTAGTAATGGTGGTGAGTGTGTAGAGAGTACAAACTACCATCCAAGTGCTGACATCAATCACTCTAAACAGTGCAGAGAGGGAAATTATTACTGCAAGGGAGTGAAATACCCTTAGGTAACATATAGAAATGAAAAGGCACTCTTCTGGGGGACAATCATCCTATTATTTACTCACGGGTGGTCCTGGGGGTCCTGGTTTTCCTGGGGGTCCTGGTTTTCCTCGTCTTCCCTTGAAACAAAAAAAACCCATAATAAATACTATGATTTTATTTCATTTTGATATAAGACAATATTACATAGCAATACTGAAGACAGTAAAAATTAACAAAAGTTAAACAATTTCAAGTCTGTGTGACTCTTAAACATCAATCAGTTCCAAAGCGATGGGCCAGTTCTTAATGACTGTGAGGAGAAACACAGTCCCTGGAATGAATAGATTGTAACTGTTATCAGCAGCCTTTTATATGCTGCTCCCTCGATATTCTGACAAAGTATTATAAAGTATCTGAAAGAAGGCCTAAGGCTGGCACTCCATCTGATGATCCTATGGGTTGATCCTGAAATAATAAATGTATCTGCCATCTTAATTTGTTATATCTCAAAGAAAGATCTGAATTCTATTTTTGTAGGAGTTACTGGAGTATGAGATTGGGTATATCTTATATCCCTTGGCTTCATCCTAGACCAGCGATGGTGAGCTTTTTAGAAATCGCAGACACAGACAGCCTGCTGAGGTGCAAGTGCCCTTGGTTAGCCATCACTGTCCTAGACTTACTGGTTTAGAATTTCTATGATGAGAGCCATGAATCTGCATCCTAGTATTACTTCACGTAATTCTTTTTTTTGGTACTAGAGATGGAAATCTGGACCTTGTGCTTGCGAGGCAGGCGGCGGAACCACTGAGCTAAATCCCTGGCCACTTCAGGTAATTCTTATGCTCACTAAAGTCCATAATGCATTGTGCTAAGGCACCTTTATATGTTCTATCTAAAGCACATTAACTAGCTCTTCTCTGGTTAAGCTGTTTTATGAGTGAACCAAAATGTATAATTCTTGTATATTAGTCTTCATTATTGTAACTGAATTTAACTTTCCCAAGTTCATAACCAGCCCAATTCCAGCTGCAAATCAGAAAGACAAGTCTATGCTGACATTTTAACTAATTGTATATCTAATACCATTTAAGAGTGTTCAGCTGTTATAAAATTATTATGTTCCTAAAATTTTTTCTAAAAAAAGAAAGTCAGCTTAGGTTTTGAAAGTATGCATTCTGAATGAGAAGCATTTCTGAGGATATGTTTTCTAAATATTGCCATTCTATCTCATTGTTACTAATTAACTTATTTGATTACTGTACTGGTAGAATATCCATACAAGTTAAGACAGTCATACTTAAAAGAAGCATCTGGTTGCTTTAAAAAAAAGCTATAAGCATAAACACTAAAGGGTCATTCAATTCACTGATTATCTTGTTCTGAAAGTGCTAGGCCAAGTCGCTCCATCTTTCTGGGAGTGGGTGGGGCAGGAACCCGACCTAGGGCACCTGCAGAGTAAGGTATGGGAGGTGAGCAAGCACTGGCAGTTCTGTGCCTGAGTGGAAACTGTCCATGGTTCCGAAAGGCGGGTTAAAGGTGGACCACCAAGGCCTCCGTACCAAAACTGTGTCCTGTTTCGTAAATAATTTCAGCTAACATTTACAGAACAGAATTGAAAATTTTTTCTTGCAAACAAGAATATAATTAGCATTGTTTTCATGTACCTTCCATTATAGAGATCCAGACACCAGATTCTTGGGGGACTGTGAGATTGAGATGAATATATAATTTGATATTCTGTGTATTTCATACGAGTTATACACATGGACACCAGTTTCTAGTCTCACAATTTACATTTTCTGAAAATTAATATATTGGATCTTTTAGAAAATGTAAATCAATTAGCCTTTGAGAACTAATCAATGATAAACAGTTTACTTAGAAAATGGAAGAGATGTAATTTATTAATTCACAAGAGCACAAAGAAATCCGATCAATGGCATCTAAGTAAGTGATTGGGTTGTTCTTTAAGCCTACACTAGGTTGAGGTAAGTTAAAACCATAGGATCAAGTTTTGTTTACACTCTCCTTTCTTCAAAGAAGATGTGTATTGATTTGGGCAGGAAGTGGGGAAAATGAGGCTAACTATTGATCAATTTTTATCACAGAGTTAATGTGTAAGACAAACCCAGTGTCAGCCCAGACAACACTGGCATTTGTTAAGATGAGGAGCAAAGAGCATGCACAGTTCTGTATGGTGAGGGCAGGCATCCAAATCCCCATCTCCCTGCTGATCTCAATGGTCATTAGGTCCAGCCCTGCCCTGTCGGAGTGCACCCATCTGCATGCCTGAGATGCAGAGATGATGATGTTGTTTGTGCATGTTTTCCAGAGTGGAAAAGCAGGCAACACATTTGTAAGGTTGTTAAGTTACAGGGACATCTTTGTGCAGAGAACTTCTGTCAGCACATATTTTCAGTTTAAGCAACACACTGAAGATTTGGACAGTTTTTAAAGATATGCTCTACACAGCAACACAGTATCTTTCCTTAGCTCTATCACCAAACTGATCATAGGAGCAAGGAAGGGTGACTCTTGGGCTTCAGGTCCTGGTTCCAGTGCCCCGTAGCGGGTGTTCTGACAGCACAGAGCAGAGGGCGAATGGGTGAGAAACAGAGGTAGAAGCTCTAGAGAATGAATAAGAGTGCTGGTGTGTGTGTGTGTCACAGTTTCTATAGACACAGTAGCCTCAGCCCACTCTTTTCTCCAACACATCTTAGGAATTAATCCCCTCACCCACCGGCCCTTAAATTTCCTAGTTTCACTGAATAGAGCAGTATAATCTCCTGTTTTCCCAGAAGATCTCTCATTTGCTTAAAAGTATTAAGGAAAGGCAAAGGTCTACCTAGAGGATAACAGTAGATTTATGGAAGAGTGAATTCATTATTGAAGCAGGACAACTTGAAGGATATTTTATTATTAATAATTATACCATGACAAAAGGCATAATAATTATACCATGACCCTCCTCCTCCAAGGACTAATACAAGATTCCTCCATGTTTTAGAGGAGAATGTAACCTGTGAATCTTAGTTCTCCTCAAAGGCTCCGGGGAGCTAGACAAGGGTTCCTGGAGCCATGGGCTGGGGGCCATGTTGGCTAGGGAGGAACCTTGTGCAAGGTGGCAGGGATGGTCATTGCTTGTTGCTTTCCGCTCCTGTCTCCTGCTGGCTCTGTCCTTTCCTTACAAGGCTCACTATAGATCCACTCCAGAGGGAGCCCACAAGTGGTACTTGGAGGTGGGTGGGGATGAAAATCTGGGCAGATAACACACACACCTGCTGAGCTGGTAGGACTGTCCTGGCTGGCTGCTCTCAAGTGGTCATTTGTTCAAAAGCAACTCTGACAATTAGAGCCTGGCTAAATCTCTAAACTCACTGAGACCTACTGTTCCAGCATTATAATTGGGCTAATCCAACACTTTCCTGAAAACTAAGGTATAAATCACAAAACACAGATTTGCCCTAATAGGTTGCCCTGGAAACCTCAAAGTGCTCAAGATGTTAGTTTTCTTTCTGCAACAGTGACAAGATGATTAGACAACAATTTCAATATCTGCCTCACACCCAGTTGCGCCCAAACCTGACCATGCAGCAGGACCCCCGGAGGGCTGGTTAAAACCTTTCACTCTGTCCCTCTCAGAGCTTCTGGGTCAGCAGGCCTGGGCTGAGGTCTGAGCATCTGCTTTTCTAACAAGTTTACAGTAACATTAGTGCTGGGCCCATCTGGCACCACAGTTAGGAACCACTGCTCTAAAAAGTTAAAGCTTTGAGTTCACACTTAACATCAGGAAGTCCTGTAGAGCCCCTTATATCTTATAAATGCAGCTCAGAACAAAAGAACTCTATTAGTTTTGTGACTGTGTGAAGCTGACCATGAAATGTTCATTGTCAAGTGCAGAAGCACCTGGATTGGAATCCCTGCTTTTTATCTTACAGAAACATTTTATGCCAAGAATTTTTTTGCTTTATGGTACTTATCCATTGCCACAGGTTTGTAGAAGGATTCAAAAGGAGATCATCTGTTAAATTCCTCCCATGAAGATGCATTAGGATGGCAACCATGAAGACAAAAGCAAACACAGAAAATAACAAATGTTGACTAGGTGTGGGGAAATGAGAACATTTACACATTACTGGTAAGATGGTAAAAGGTACTGCCAGTGTAGAGAATATAAAGTTCCTCAGAAATTATAAATATAACTACCATATGATTTTCTGAGTATATGAGGTATACCCAAAAGATTTGAAACTGGAGTTAAGAAGAGATATTTGCATCCATGTTCACAGCACTATTCTTAAATGACAAGTTGCCCAAAATAACCCATCAATGAATGAATGAGTAAGCATAATGTGATGCCAACACACAATGGGACATTATTCAGTCTTAAAAAGGAAAAAAATCCTATCCCATGGAACAATGGGGAGAATGTAAGGATATTATAGTGAATGAAATAAACAGGTCACAATATTGTAAGGTTCCATTAGATAAGATGTCTACAGTATTCAAATTTGTAGAAACAGAAAGTAGAAGAGCTGAGAGGAGGGAGAAGAGGTTTGTGTGTGTTGGGGGGGTGGTGTTTAAGGCAATGTAGTTTCAATGTTGCAATGTGGAAACACCGTGGAGAGCTGTTTCATAACAATGTGGATACACTGTACAACTCTACCAATACAGTTAAAAATGGAAAAGGCGGTAACGTTGTATATATGTATTTTTAAAAATCACATTAAAAAGGACCCCATTCCACCACAATGCACCTGTGACAGTGTTAGCTCCTTCCATTTTCTCACCTTCAATTACTTTCTATTCAAATTTCCACTTTATTATATAAAAATGTTTGATAATATCTTAAGGAAACTCGCTAAAGTATACAGTGACATCCTTTAAAGAAGTGCAATCAACTCTTAATTACAATTTTTTTTAAAACCCTAAAATAATAGCCAGTATGCCAATTAAAAGTAGAAATAAAAATAATTATAATTGACTTATACCATGGAATCTAGCCATGAGTGGAATTGAACTACTTGCAGCAATATGGATATTTCTTACAAGCATAATGTTGATCAATTTATATGAGGAACAAAACTAGGCAAAACTGATATGTGCTATCAGAAGTCAAGATGGGGGTAGGGAA